TCTTCTTCTGGGTCGGCTGTTTAGAGGAATCAGCCGCCCAGACCTCTTTTCTCTTCTTCTCATCTTTGTTCGACGACTGTTTCTGCCGTCCTTCTCTTTTGTCGAACCTTTTCCCGTCCGACTGTTTTCCCGTACTACAAAGATCAGTCGCCTGTATATAGGCTTCCGCTTCAATCAAGGCCTCTTGAAGAGTCGCCACCCTCTTTCGAACCAAATAAAATTTAAATGTCGACCCGTCTTTGAGGCCTCTGAAAAAGTCAGTATAGGCTACCTAATCCGGTAACCCTTGAATCTGTATTCTCATCAGGTTAAATCGCCTGATGTAAGAACGAAGCCCCTCCTTCTCGCCCTGCTGAATCGTTCCTAAATCAAGGGTCGTCTTCTTCGCAGGTATGTTCATGGCAAAGTTGGAGGTGAATAAGTAAGCAAGCCTCCTGAAGTTATTCACGCAACCAGTCGGCAGGTTGTCGAACCATTGTTGTGCGATTCCTTTGAGAGTCGCTGGAAAACACTTGCACCAAGTGGGATCATCCAACCCTTGAAGGTACATCAGGTTGGTGAATGCCATCAAATGGTCTTCTGGGTTAGTAGTGCCGTCATAGGCGCCTACTAATACATTTTTCACTTTGGCCGGCTGAGCGGCTTCAGTAATTTCCTTGGAGAAGGCCGACGGCTGTTCCCCAATTCTAAGCAACCGTAGCTGCCAGTCCATAGGTTGGACATTCTTTGCTGCATGCCCTCCAAAAAGAGGTGGCTGCAAAAAATATTGTTGTTGCGGTACATATGGTAAGTTTGGTACCGCCTGGTCACTATGAAAGCCGGACTGACGGGAGGTACCGCCTGACTGACTCTCATGATGCGACTGAGTATACCTCATCGAGGTATTGCGTAGACTGCCTTGGAAGTCTGAAGTAGAGGCCGACTCTGACAATCGGTCATTCTTCTTCTGCTCTAGCAATAGCCGAGCATCTGTGTATGTTTTCTTCGACCCGTCCGCCTGAATATGACGAACAGGTTTCCTCTTTCCTGGAGTAGGAAAGCGGTACTTTGTGAAATCAAGGACAGGCGGCTCCCACTTCCTAGAATTAGGATGAGGGGTCGCCTCTCGCCCTTGAACAGGCTTCCTCTTCCCTGAAGAGGAAGGTTTCTTAGCCGACTGCTCCTTGGCCAGAGCAGGCGACTTCTTGTTGAGCAACTCTTGAATCTCTCCCTTGAAGCCCCTCATGAAGGTCATGAGTTCGTTTCTTGTAATGGGAGCAGACCCATCAGCCGGCTGCTGCTGAACAGGCGGCGCGCCGGCTGGATCACTGAGTCCAGTTTGAAGATCTTCCCGTTCTCTCCTTTCGGTATGACGGGTGCGTTGGGCCCTTAGGGTCCCATCTGAAGCTGTGTGAGCTTCAACTTCAAATTCTTCCTCAGTATCATGGTCCGACTGAACTTGAGGATCGTCCTGGGGACGCCTCTCTTCAGGAGTCGGTACAGACGTGGATTCCATCTCAGAAGTACTCTCCCCACAGACGGCGCCAAAATGTTTCGGGGTTTTCTGATGTCCTGCGGAAGAGTTACAATTCTGAGACTGGAACCGGACGCCTGTACCTGCAAAACAAACGGATGCTCCGGACGATTGGAGATCCGTCTCCGACGGTCAAGTTAGTACTTGATTAAGGAGTAATTAATGCGGAAATAAAAGTAATTGGGTTTCTCTAGGTGAGAGTGTTAAATGTGCGTCCTCTCCCTTAATGAGGATTAATGGGCATATTTATATGCCTTGGGATGCGTGCTAGTACTAGGTTTAGGTTAAACCTAAGGCTGACTAGGCCTCCCACAATGATTGAGCCTTGTTGGCCGGTTTTCCAATTTGGCATGGGTGGACACGTGTCACATTGCAATTGGTCCAAGGAGGACGAATCTCTTGATGACACGTGGCAGGCTCCTATTGGCCTACATGAAGGACACGTGGCGAAACCTGGCTGGCTCACGTGTCGGATGCTGATTGGTGGATAAAAATCCCCTAATCACTACTAAAAGCGAATATAAGAGGATACTTGTATGATCACAATGGGGTTCAAGTTTTGGGTAATGCTTGAAATATTCTCAACCCATATTCAATTTAAAATCACAATCAATCAATAATTATCAATAATATATATACTAAAAGACTCACCAGTAATGACACGTGTCATTGCCTGGTGTGTCCTAAAAAATATACTACGTATTTTATTTATTTTTTTTATTTGGATCTTCTTTTAATAAAGTTTAAATGAGGTAAAAAAAAAAGTTTTCAAAAAGTACGTAACTTTAATTGTAAAAAATTAATTATCATCTAGATTTTTAATTATAGAAAGAATAAATAAACAATAATTTTTTTAGGAAAAAAAATATCATATAGATTATCAACATAAGATTTTCATTCTTATTTTTGTCAAACAACTTATCTTGATAATCAATATCTATGTAAAAATATCAATAAATAACTATATAACTTATTGATTGATAACTATTAATTATTATATAATGTATATATAATTTCAATACATTGATATTTGAATTAGAGTTGATAGTAAGAGAAGTTGAATAAGAAATAAGATGTTATTGGAATAATATTATTTGTCCCTACCAAAGTTATTAAAATCGGGATTCTACTTTGAATCGGAAGGGGCTATCAGAATCGAATCGTAAAATCGAATCGTAGAATCGTAAGATTCTTCCGACATGTATGAAAGAAGATAGAATGTAATTTCTTGCTTTCATTCAAAATATTGGCAGATTATATACAGCTCTTACGAGAATAGTTAGGCCTATAATTGAGGCTTAGATTAGGGAGTTGACTGAGCTATTCTACAGCTAATCTTCCTATTTACATGCACTAGATAAATACATGGCATAAATAGATATATACAATAAAATAGAATATAATTAATATTATATTCTAACACGCCCCCGCAGTCGAAACGGGAGCATCACGAATGCTGAGACTGGCTCGAAAATCTTCAAATAAAATAAGAAGAAACATTAGCAACTCCTCTGTACTCGGCCTCAGCGCTGGATTTTGATAGAGTTGGTTGCCATTTGGATGACCAACTAATCAAATTATCACCTAGATAAACACAGTAGCCGGAAGTAGATCGTCTAGTATCCGGACATCCTCCCTAATCAGCATCAGTAAAAGAAATTAATTTATTCAGAGAGGATTTATAGAGGTGGAGACAAAAAGATAATGTACCCTGTAAATAGCGCAGAATACGCTTGAGAGCATTCATATGCTCGTGCCTGGGATCATGCATGTGAAGACAAATTTGCTGCACGGCATAAGAGATGTCGGGTCTGGTGAAAGTAAGGTACTGCAAAGCACCGGCCAAGCTGCGGTACTTAGATGGGTCATCACAAGGATCACCTGATGAAGCACTGAGTTTTGGTTTGGTGTCAACAGGAGTAGCACAAGGACTACAATTAGCCATGCCAGCTCGGTCTATAATTTCTGTGGCGTACTGAGTCTGAGACAAGAACATACCATTGTCATTTCGGGTAACCGCAATACCCAAAAAGAAACTGAGAGGACCTAAGTCCTTCATAGAAAATTTGCCATTCAAAAGAGACATGAAATGCTTCCTTAACCTATCAGAAGAGGCGGTAAGAATAATATCATCAACATATAATAAGAGGTAAGCCATATCCGAGCCCTGTCTGTAAATGAACAATGAGTTATCTGATGTACTGTGTGAAAAACCAATAGTGGCTACAAAATCCGCAAAGCGCTGATACCAGGCCCGCGGAGCCTGTTTAAGACCATAAAGAGATCTTTCCAGTAAACAAACATGATCAGGGCGACTTTTATCACGGAACCCCATAGGTTGATGCATATAGACGGTCTCATTGAGATTACCGTGTAAGAAAGCATTCTTGACATCTAGTTGATGAATGGGCCAAGATTTTGAGATAGCAATGGTAAGAACAGTACGAATAGTAGTCGGTTTGACAACCGGACTAAAAGTCTCATCACAATCAACACCCTGCTGTTGAGTTTTTCCATCACCTACAAGACGGGCTTTATGCCTCTCAAAAGAACCGTCAAAATTCTTTTTGTGACAAAAAATCCACATTGATCTAATAACATTCACACCCGGTGGCCTAGGTACTAATTTCCATGTTCTATTTTCAATTAGAGCATTAAATTCATCTAACATTGCTGCTTTCCAATTAGGGTCACGAATAGCACTAACCGGGTCTTTGGGCAAAGGAGAAATGGTAGTGGTGGTAGTGGTAGCTAGGTTGGCAACATATTTGGTGTTGGGTTTGTAAATTCCATTTTTTGCTCTAGTAGTCATAGAATGGGAGGGCTGTAAGGTAATGGGTGTGAGAGTAGGAGTAGGCTGATCTATGTGGGATAGTTGGGTTGGCCCAGTTCGGTGGGTAGGGGAAGGAGGCGAATTGGGTTGCTGTTGGAGTCTTTGGAGATGGACAGTTCCAGGAGAGTGAGATGAGTGTGGCCCAGAAGAAGGAGGGGGGGTAAGGGGTGGGCTTACTTGCGGCCCAGACGAGAGAGGATGGGATGGAGCTTGGCTTGCGTGTGGCCCAGAAGAGGGAGGACTAGTGAGGGGTGGGCTGGTGTGCGGCCCAGGAGAGTGAGGAGGTGAATTTGGTTGGTCTTCTTGGTGCGCATGATTAGTGGGCTGAGCCAAATCAGTTGGTGAGTGTTGTTGCATATAACTAACAAGAGGATTGACATCTAGAAAGTTGTAATCATCAATATGAGGCGTGTGAAGTTTAGCAAAAGGGAATTCATGCTCAAAAAATTTCACATGACGACATATTATTATCTTGCCAGTTGACGTATCATAACACTTAGGACCTCTATGATTTGGGGTGGGACCAAGATAGACACAAGGGGTTGACCTTTGTTGCAACTTGTGAATGGAGGTGGATGGAAAGAGGGGTAAACATAGGCAACCAAAAACACGTAACTCGGAGTAGAGAGGGTCACATTGATATAGAATTTGAGTTGGAGACTTAAATCCTAGATTTTTGGTTGGAAGTATGTTTAGAAGGTAAGTGGCCATGGCTAGAGCATGATGCCAAAATGAGAGAGGTAAAGAAGCATGTGCAAGTAAGGTCCGTATGATATTGTTTATGGATTTTATGTGTCGCTCGGCTTTTCCATTTTGAGGAGAGGTATGAGGGCAAGAGAGACGAAATAGCATACCATGTTGATCAAAGAACTCATTAAAAGTGCCATTGATATATTTTGTACCATTGTCACATTGAAAAGTTTTAATTTTTCGATTAAATTGTGTGCTTATGATGGTATGAAAAGATTTAAATAAATGTTTGACTTGAGATTTTTTTGCAATAGGAAAGGTCCACAAAAATTTACTGTAATCATCAAGAAAAAGCACATAATAACAATGGCCAGAAGAACTCACAATAGGCGAAGTCCAAAGATCACTATGGATAATATCAAATGGAAAAACAGTGTTTGACATAGAATCATGAAAAGGTAATTTTGCAAGTTTCCAAAGAGGACAAGAAGAACAAAAACTCTTACAAGCCTTATTACAATCAATGAATTTACTTTTACTAAGAGAATTAAGCACAACATCACCGGGATGTCCTAAGCGATTATGCCATAGATCAGAAGAGATAGTTGTAAAAGCTGAATTATTGACTTGAGGATTGACTTGAGTGTTTGAGAAGATAGGATATAGGTCACCGGCACTGTCACATCTCATTATTTTGACTCCCGTCTGTAAATCATTCACAGAAAAGCCATAAGGGTCAAATTCAATGGAAATTGAGTTATCAGTGGTGAATTTGCGGACAGATATTAAGTTCTTAATTAATTTAGGAGCATGTAAAACATTTTTCAATTGAAAGGGTGGGTGAGGTGATGGTAAAGTAGTACTACCGTGACCAACAATTGGAATTAAATGTCCACTTCCCACAACAATGTTATCATTTATATTGCTCGAATTAAAATAAGAAGAAAAAATACCTTGATCCGAAGTCATATGAGCCGTGGCACCGGTATCCATATAGTAGTTGTTGTCGGGTTGAGAGTAGCCACTTGAGAGTGCACTCATTGCTGCTTCAATATCCATGGGTGAGTAACTGGGAGGAGGAGCCATAGCATTGTAGGCTTGGGGACGTGGGCCCAGTAGCCCAGGCCCAGCAGGACGAGGCCTAGACGGTTGTGCTGCTGGCGGTTTAGGAGCCCACAAAGAGGCTGGATATGGGCAGGGAGGAGCCCATGGAGCATAGGCCCAAGGAGATTGAGGCCAATTGTAAGGCACATGTGGGCCATTTAAGTGGGTTTGTTGTTGGTCCCCAAGAGAAGAGTTAGGGTTTCGGCCCTTGCCAGAACATTTAGCAAAAAATTTCTTTTGCTTTCCCCCTTTTGAAGCAGAGTGATTTGAGGAAGAAGAGGCAGAGTTGCTTGCAACGGTGGATGTGACGAGAGCTTGATTGCGGTTGCTTGGACCACCCTCCTTGGCTAGGCGATTTTTAATAGTCCGTTCAGCAAGTTTGAGGCAAGAACGACAGCTTTCGAATGAAGGCAGCGATTCTTGGTTTTGAATTATGTCCACCGTGCCGGCATAGGCTTCAGGGAGACCTGCGGTGAGCTTAAGGACTAGACGGTTGTCGGAGAGAGGAGCATCTACATCAGCGAGACGGTCAGCAAGAGATTTAATATGGTTGCAGTAGGCATCAATGGATGAGAAATTCTCGAAGACGAGATCGACAAGTTCTTCCTCAAGGTGGGTAGCACGAGAGGCTTTATTGTCTTGAAACATTGATTCGAGACGAGCCCACGCCCCTTGGGCGGTGTCATCTTTGAGAAGAATAGCATGAAGAAGGTCGGGAGATATGTTTCCATAAATCCAGTTCAAAACCGCGGCATCGAGACGCCTCCATAGAGCTGGATCAGCAGCTTTGGTGGCTTGATAGGCGGCAATTTTAGTTGCCTCCGTTGGAGGAACTATATGATGATATAAATCATGGACCCTAACAAGTACCTTGAATAAGGTAGCCCAAGAATGATACATGCCTTGATCATCCAATGTTATGGGAATGAGAGACTTGACATTGGTGATGGTGAGGGCGGGGTGGAATTTGGAGGATTCAGGAGACATTGTTTGCAGCGGAAGATAGAGAAGGTGGTGGAGAATGGGCTATTGTTAGGGATGGTGAAGCCAAGGTCGTAACCTTAATCTGATACCATGAAAGAAGATAGAATGTAATTGCTTGCTTTCATTCAAAATATTAGCAGATTATATACAGCTCTTACGAGAATAGTTAGGCCTATAATTGAGGCTTAGATTAGGGAGTTGACTGAGCTATTCTACAAATAATCTTCCTAAATTTACATGCACTAGATAAATACATGGCATAAATAGATATATACAATAAAGTAGAATATAATTAATATTATATTCTAACAATGTATAATCAAGACGTCAAACATAAATTTAAATAAATATATTGAAATTATAAGTTTAAAACCTAATTATTGATAGATAATAGTTATTTACCCATTAAGCAATCAATACTTGACAATATATATTTTTAAAAACCTATATAAACATGTTTGTTACTTGTAAGGATTTCGCTAGTTCAGAAAAATATTTAAAATCGGTTAGAATCGTAAATCGAATCATTGTATGTTGTCCCTAACAAAGTTATTAATATCAGTTAGAATCGTAAATCGAATCATATGATATACATGAATCGTAAAATAATTAGATTTTAAGATTTAAATCGGTATTTTAATAACAATGGTCCCTACATACAACACCATTAGAAATTTGACACATCATCAGAAAAGGGGAGAAAGTTAGAAGTCAAATATAAATTGAATATAATGGAACTTGGGACCATTATTCTAGCTAGCCAATAAAAACATGACAAATTAGAGTTGAATATAGGGACCACATACAACAATTGTATGTGTAGTCTTTGTCGATTTGGTGTGGCTGGTGGGGTTGAGGCAGGGTTGATGGGAAAGGAAAGACATATATTTTATTTTTTTGATTTAATTAAGCAATTTTTTAGTTATTTATTAGTTTAATTCTTGTTTAATTAGTTGATAATTGTAAAATTATTGTTATGTTAGAGAACTTTTAAAAAAATAATGCTATTTGAGAAATTTGTCAAATAGAGTATTTTGTTAGCATAAAGAATGGGCAAAAATATACGACTGTTATGAAATATTTGTGGTTATCCATTATCCTCCTTTGTATAATTCCGGAACAATCTAGATCTAGGGTTTATATTCTTATCCATTCAAACCCTAATATATTGTATTTATATATACCCCCATTATATGGAATAGAAATACACTGATATATTCTCTATCAATCTCTCTTATATTTCTCTCTATTTTATAACACGTTATCAGAACCAAAGCTCTAAATTTTATTGTTGATTTGTTAAGTTAATGATTAATTCGTTGTATACTGAATGTGCTAAATTATACTATATTAATTATCTTGTTGTGTCGCATCTTGGGAAGAAATTAGAAGGAGATTAATCTTGATCAGGGTTTTGATCTTTTAATAATGAAATCACACGTTTCAAGAATGTTATATCATTCCCAATCCTCATTAATTAAGTTGAGACTAGTACAAGGAGTCTCACAGTATTAATAATTTGGTTATAAAGAACTACTCGTATTATTTTTCGATTGCATTGGTTTGTTTATCTTGAATCATCTTTCTCATCTATCCATAATATAATAGATTAGCCTTAATCAAGGGCTATACTTTATTTTCTTTTCATTGACGTTTTCATGAGTTACAGGCTAGCAGATGACGTTGATAACATGAAGTTGACGATAAGGCTGGTTTTTATAGTGGGAACGATTTTGATATCAGGAAAGTTCATTCTCAACTATCCTGTTATTGTTAATTTTAAACCTTTACTTAATATGTTTATATTGTTTCCCAAATTTTTGTATTTTTATTATTTCTGGAGTTCAATGAGCAATTTGGGAATAGTTGAATTTGATGCAGAATAACTAATTAGTAGTTTTGTTTTGACTATGAGTTTTGTTTAGTTTGAATCTAAAAGGCTATTTAGAATATTATTGGGGTTAATTTTATGAACGTATGGTTTTCATGAAATTGAATTACATATATTTGCTAGATTTTGGTATTACTTTTCCTATCCGTAAATGAGTTTGGTTATTTCTCTATGCTTAATAGCAAATATGAATGGTTTGATTTAGCAATTATTTACCCATATAATTTGTTTGTGAAATCCTATGTCTAATGCCTTGAATGTTTGTAAATTGTACGAAGTAAGCATAAGGTACATGTATGTTTTTATATTTCAAGTATGATATGAAACATGTGGTTTTCCACTGACGTGAACGTGTTAATTTTGGTTGCTTATGTGCTTGTTTCTATTTTCTAATTAAGCTTTATCAAGCAATATATTGATATAATTGACCCGACAGTATAGTTGATTCAATCGATTCAGGTATGTTTTTATTAAAGCGTGAAGTAGTAGGTTTTCATATTTTTACCTTCTCATTCAATTATAATATTATGTACCTACTTGAAGTTTGATTATTATTAGAATAAATGTAAATTGAATACGATGTGCGGACCTGAAGTTCCTTATATTTATAAAGAGTATTCACACTAGCTTGAACATATTAATGGCTCAAACCCTTAAGGATAATACAAAGAAATGTGCATGATCTACAAAGCTAAAGCATATTGCTTAGATATTCACTACATACTAACGTGATTATATAAACACAATGTCATGTTTACTTATGTTTCCAAAGATTAATTTTAATTTGGCTAGTGTAGTTGAGTGGATCGAATAAGGTATGTTTTGATTAAAGCTCGAACTGATTTCGTCATGTCTTATTTTTACCTTCTCTTTCTGAAAAATGTAGATGGATTGGTATATATTCTCGTACATATGGACCTGAAGTTCCTTAATTAATTAAATATATAGCAAAAAGTGTGTTATGAGTTCAATTAATTAAACATGACATTGTGAGAAACTATACATAATTATAAAAGGTTTTGTTTTTTTTTTTAAGATGAATGTAATTAGGCATGAGGAACGTGATAAGTGTTCTATAAGTATAATTTTATATAAGCATGTTTTTGCTAAAAGGAACATGTTACTTGATACATGACATTGCCAAAAGAATTTATGGCTTAAAAGTTGCAAGGATTTTAAAGGTTGTTGGATTGATTCATTCCATACCCCATATGCAAGGATTAGGGGGAGATTGTATGTAACCCTTGCATATAAATAATTAAATATATTGATGTCAATTTGATACATACAATAACTTAAATATCAACGATTTATTTAATAGAAGTGGCCACATGTTCATTAAATATTTTGAAATGATACCATCCTGAAGATGGATACAAACAAATGACATTTATCATATACTAGTTGTAAATGCTCTAATTTAAAGTTGATGTCCTAAGAGTACAACATCAATTGTTGATGAACCTATAGTATGCCTGAAGCGTGATAAATCAATAGGTTCTAAAGATAATTAAGTATCTTTGAAAAGGAAAGGAGTCACTATTGACAATGACAAATTTGAGGAAGTGGTAAATATCATTACATTTCTAGAAGAAATCACTTTTAGTAAAGTTCATATGTTTCATGATTATATAAAAGACTCCAGAAGAGTATGAATTATCCATGTATCAAGTTTATAGTTTAAACTCCAGTAGAGTATGAGTAATTATTGGATAAAATATTAATTGATTGTCTTGCCAATTATATAAGGAAACACATGTTGGTGTTCTAAAATCACATCACATTCATGGCCATGCATATAGTAAGTTTAATAAAGTAATCACTAGTGTTGAAAACTGACCAGAGTTCAAATTTAGAGAAGTGATTGGATGTGATAATTAAATTAGGTCATCCGGGTTTAATAATAATTACCCGTAATGGAAACCTGAAGCTTCATTTGATAATGTGCTGACGCTTTCTCAATGTTAAATATATAAAATGAATTGAATGGCAAGACGTAATATTGAGATTGAGTTATATTTGGATTGTGAGTTATAATAATTTGTATTGATGAAAATTTCAAGATTTAATATGTTTTGATTTTTTTTTATATAAAGGAGTAATGGCTGACCAGAAGTTCACCAAAATAACTTATATATTATTGTCAACTATCAAGTGATCAGAAGCTCACCAAATACACTATTTAAGTCTTTAACGATCCAGAAGATCATCACCTACTAGAATTACGAGCAAGTGATTTATGCTTGTATAACAATTCTTTTTATTGGGGCTATTATATGTCAGCACATATTAAATTGGAGAAGAAAGAAAAACGCACAACTGCACAACATATGTCTCCCCATTGAAATTGATCTCCAGAAGAGAAAATAATATTGAAAATTTAATAATAAATAGTTAAATACACATGAAATATAAAGTTAATGAATAAATAATTCTTCATTGAAATTGTTCTCCAGAAGAGATAAATTTTGATTGTGATCCTCCCAATGAAATGAATTTTAATGCAAATTTATATACTAAGTTGGTATAGAATTAGACGCCCCTATAAAAGAGATATATTACCAACTTAAGGGGAGAAGAAATAGCAAAAGTTGGGAAAATTGAAAAAAAAAATTAAATAAAGAATATATGATCCCTATAATGGTAGTTTGAAAAGTTATATGTATGCCAACTTTTGTATATATATTATCAAGATATGTTGCACATTTATGATTTGATTTGTATTCAGTTATGACTCATGTTGCATAGCATTGAAGATACATTTGGTCATATTAATTATGTGTATACATTGAGATAAAATCTTGCCAATTGTACTTGAATCACTACACCTGAAGTGTAGGTTGTATATGATCGGTTCCAAAATAAATATATGTTTAATAGATATGATATTTGGCAAGATAGTGCAGTTGACACTAATAGTGTAATAGTATATAAATACCATAGTGTATGAAAGACCCTAAAAGTGGTATAGATATCTGAATTATTATAATAGATGGCCTATGATGTAAGAAAAATTATGATGGTACCAATGAGAAATGTATGCAGATATCATAGTAAAATAGCATGCGGAATGTAAGTTAAAGAAACTTTATGATACCGGTACATAATGGAATCGATAAATAATATGCATATGCATGATAGAATGGACTAGTGAATAAAGGGATCTGAAATATATGTCCATTTTATTGTCGACATAATGATAATGATCAAAAGTTTATTATGGACCAGAAGTTCAATGAAATATGGATTTTTAAATCCACATTGTACAGTGTCTTGCATCATTTTGAGTCTTATTTTCATGTGCATGTGTGAGTCATAAGTTAATGGATATTTATTACATATATAGGAAGTTGTTAGATGCATTACTCATTGTATATTTGTTAATATGTTATCATATTTTCTATATCTCATATTGCATGCATTAATTTCATACAATAACTGTGGTGTATGTAAATGTTCATTCAAAGTATAGTAAGGTATGTTTACAACTTTGATGAAAAATTAGAAAGAGATTAATATTCCAATGGGCTTATAATTATGATAGAATTATTGATGACATCGATTTAATTGCACATTATGAATTAAGAAGAGTTCCTGAAGAACTTATATACGACCTATTGTAATATCCAGCCCTACAAAGTTTATATCTTGAATTTGCAATTATTATCAAACTCTTGAAAATCTATGTACGTGACAACATTATTAACATCTCAATCTGAAGTTTGAGCATATGAGAGTTGATGAAATTAACCATGAGTATTTGCAAGAGAGTTATCGTGTCAATTATGAAACGTCTAAAGAATATCAATGGATCACTTATGCGTGACAATATTTTCTTATGGTCCTGAAGAACCATAATTAGTGTATATAATTACGTGTGTTATATTATAATTCATATGAGAAGAATGATATTAACAATATCAAGCTAAGTTTTGTCATCAAATTATTACTTATATTAATGAATGTTTGATCAAATAATGATCATCAATATTTATTATCAACGACTTCCAGAAGAAGTCATAACCGTATAAGTTTATCCTTTGAATCAACTATTAAACAGAGATTTGAAATAATGATATTAGAGATAAACACATGTATGGTGAAATGAAGACACTTCACATGTTCACATGAAGACTTGAAGAATTGAAGATACAACTTCAGCTTAGGAGAGTCGAAGATCAACAAGTGATATTTTACCAGTTATTAGAAGATATCCAACATATTGGATTCATTGTTGCGACACTAGAAGATCTCAAGTTATGTATTCATCAGGGGGAGAAAATACGCGCCGCACTCTTTTTCCCTTGACCATGGTTTTGTCCCAAATTGGGTTTTCCTGGTAAGGTTTTTAATGAGGCAGCATCTCGAGCGCATTACGAAGAATGATGTACTGTTTTTCCTTCACTATGTTTTTATGCCACAGGGTTTTTCGTAGTAAGGTTTTAATGGGGCATAATCTTCGATAATGGACATCCAAGGGGAGTGTTATGAAATATTTGTGGATATCCATTATCCTCCTTTGTATAATTGCGGAACAATCTAAATCTAGAGTTTATATTCTTATCCATTCAAACCCTAATATATTGTATTTATATATACCCCCATTATATGGAATAGAAATACACTAATATATTCTCTATCAATCTCTCTTATATTTCTCTCTATTTTATAACAATGACTACCATTTGAGAATTTTCCTTGAATTTATTCTACATTTCTGTTTTAAGAACATAGCCCCTTACAAAGCCACCACCACCTCCTCTCAACGTTTCCATTGAAGCGCACCCTATTGAAGCAGCCTACGAGGTAAATCTTTTTCTTTTTTTCTATTTTTTTTTTCATCATGTCAATTTCACAATCTAGGGCTTATCGTTGATCTAATTAAATTTAATTGTCATAAGTTTTAGTTTAGGGTTCGAAAATTTGAAGTATTGGTTCTAATATGACCAGCGATTATGTTTATAAAAAAGACAATTATGAATCTAATTTGATATTTGAATCAATCATGCCTTTCCTCCCTCCCTAAAATCATGTGATTTTGAGGCTTTATTTGACAATTGAATCAAATTTGGTTGCTGAACCCTTTCATATTTGAATTGAACTATGAAATTAACTAAAGTTGTGTTCTTTTCAGTATTGTTTATCTTCTGATTTTTTTTTATTTTTTTTTTTTGGATTTAGCCCCCTGCCTGCAAAATTCTAGATCAACATTATCTCATTAATAATAACAAAAAATAACTTTCCCCTTTGTTGATGATTACACATAATAATCAAATTTGGTTCATGTAGACGACCCCACTTATGGGATCAAGCCTTTGATTGATTCTAAAATGCTAAATTCCGGCCATATATTGACTACTTGTCTTCGAACCTATAAAGAGTATAAATTGAACTGAATACATAATATCATATTTATATTTATTAATTAGTTAAGTTAATCTCCATTATATTGATATGATAGTAGTTATGGCAGGTTGAGATGGATTATGGTCCCTTCGTAAAATCTGGAATTGGTTACACGGGAGATGATGTAGAACAATTTGCTGAATTGTTTTCGGTGAGGATTAAACATAATGCACTTGAGAAGTTTCGAGTTTATGGCACCATATTTGTTGAAGACGACGAGGGTACTTTTTGCATCTTCACTCAACAAGATGATGATGGAATTGATGCCGATCTTATAAATGGCTCCTTGCCTCTAACTTTTAATCGCGCAATCTGTGCTAACTCAAATTTCACTATTTCCTTTGATCTCAAAGATGAAGATGGTTATACAATTGAGGGCAAATTTGTTGCAGAAATAGAACCGGGAAAAAATGGCAATTTTAAATAATTGGGTGTTGATAGTATGTTTGGCAGTATGGGTTGTGCAACCATATATTACACTTTTAACCAAGCAGCAAATATTTATGCTATAAAGGATTCTATTCTTATGAAACACAGCTTTGATTCTGCTAACTCTGAAGATCACCATGGGCGGAGCTAGAAGGGGACATGTGGGGACACTTGTCCCCCCATTTTCAAAAAAAAAAATTTTTAAAAAAAAAAAAATTTAAAAAAAAAAAAAATGCAATTACAGATTTACAGTGCTCTGTTGCGTTGCGACATTTGCCAGCCAGCCAAACCCTAAGTTTTTCAATTTTCAATTTCTCTCTCTTCGATTCGCCCTCGCCTGTCGCCTAGCCGGCTCGCCGTGACGCCGTCCACCGTTCGCCGGCAGTTCGCAGCAGTGACGAGGTTCAACAGCCGCCCTTGAGCCTTCGTCCTTCGTGACTTCGTGTCTTCGTGACTTCGTCTGTTCGTCAATCGCCTAGCCGGCTCGCCGTGACGCCGTCCACCGTTCGCCGGCAGTTCGCAGCAGTGACGAGGTTCAACAGCCGCCCTTGAGCCTTCGTCCTTCGTGACTTCGTGTCTTCGTGACTTCGTCTGTTCGTCAATCGCCTAGCCGGCTCGCCGTGACGCCGTCCACCGTTCGCCGACAGTTCGCAGCAGTGACGAGGTTCAACAGCCGCCCTTGAGCCTTCGTCCTTCGTGACTTCGTGTCTTCGTGACAGCGTGACTTCGTCATATGCATAAGCATAACACATTTGCTGTAAATCTGGATTTCAATGGAGGTATGAATCAATGAATGTATGATTAATTGAATAATTGATTACTTGTTTTGTTGTTTAAATGTTTAATTGTTTAAATTTACAGTAAATCTGAAATTCTGAATTTCATATTTTTATTACTTGTTTAAATGTTTAATTATTTATATTTTTATTGTGAATTTGTCATTTGTGGCCTTGTGGGTATTGATTATTGAATAATTTGAATTGATAAATGATTATTGATTTATATTTGTTTGATTGTTTCCCCTGTTAGAGTTTTTGGTTGTTTTTGTGAAATGTGAATTTAAATTATTAATTATTGTAAATTATTGAAATGTGTAGTTGAATTAGAAATTTAAAATCTTAGCCTCTTAGGTTTTGTTATTATGTAATGATGTGGATTGTGGTCTTGTGGAAATTGATATATAATTTTCAATTTAACTAGGAAATATCAAAAGATTCACCAAATTCAAACAAATCAAAGGCAACTAAACAACCCGATCTTCGACAATTCTTGTTTAAAAGAACGAGACTCAATGAAAATGAGTCCAATAACTCACCTTCAGTTAGCTCCCCTCAAAGTCAAGAAAATAGTATGGAAATGGGTGGTTCAAGTAATAGTAATGTACCATTAGAGGAAGATTTGGTGTATGATGTTGAACTTCTTCCTCATGATCCGGGAAAAAGAATAAACATTATGGATTACCCCGCAAATGAACGAAATGCTGTTAGGAGGGGTTATATTCTTAAAAAACCTTGCCAACCAAAAACTCATGTCTTCCCTACAAGACAAGTGTCTGGTTTGCGTCGCTTTAGTGTTCATTGGTTCAACAAATGGGATTGGCTTGAATATAGTATTGAAAAAGATGCTGCATTTTGTTTTGTATGTTACTTGTTCAAGAATGAAGTTGGTATTAAACCGGGGGGTGATGCATTTGTTGATGGAGGGTTTAGGGCATGGAATAAACCGGAAAGATTTGAGAAGCATGTTGGTGGAATTAAAAGTGCTCATAATCTTGCTTATGAGAAATATGTGAATTTAAGAGATGAAAAAAAGAAATCAATCTTGAATGTGATTGACAATGCAAGTGATGTGATTAAAAGTGAATATTTTATCCGCTTGAAAGCATCTTTATCTTGTTTAAGATTTCTTTTGGGGCAAGGTTTGGCATTTCGTGGACATGATGAAAGTGGGGAGTCATATAATAGGGGTAATTTCCTTGAGCTTTTGAAGTGGTTAGGAGAAAAGGTTGAGGAAGTAAGGATACATACTCTTGAAAATGCACCTAAAAATTGTCAAATGACTTCCCCTCCTATTCAAAAGGACATTATTAACTGTTGTGCCAAAGAAACAACTAGGTGCATAATAGAAGAAGTTGGTGATGATTACTTTGCTATATTGGCCGATGAGTCAAGTGATGTGTCCCAAAAAGAACAACTAGCTCTTGTTTTGCGTTTTGTTGATAGAGATAGTGGAAAGGTAATGGAGCGATTTTTAGGCATTGTTCATGTTGCTAATACTACCGCTTTAACTCTTAAAGATGCAATCATGTCTTTACTTGTTGAACATTCATTGAGCCCATCTATGATAAGAGGGCAAGGGTATGATGGAGCTAGCAACATGAAGGGTGAAATAAATGGCCTTAAGACTTTGATTATGAATGATACTCCAAGTGCCTACTATATACATTGTTTTGCTCATCAACTTCAACTAACATTAGTTGCCGTTGCTAAAAAGAATGATAGTTGTGGTTGGCTTTTCGAGATACTTGGAAATTTGTTGAATGTGGTTGGAGTTTCTTGCAAGAGAAGAGAAATGATTCGTCAAGATCAAGCTCAAGAAGTTGCTCGAGCCTTGGATGTTGGGGATATTGTGAGTGGATCGGGTTTAAATCAAGAACTTGGTTTGAGTAGGCCCGGGGATACTCGTTGGAGTTCTCATTACAAGTCACTTTTAAATGCCATCCTCTTATTTCCTACAATTATTAAGGTGCTTGTACAAATTGGGAAGCATGGTGCATCGGAAGATAAGTTCAAAGCTCAAATTGTTTTAGGACAATTAGAGTCATTTGACTTTATTTTTGTTGCTCACTTGATGTTGACTATTTTTGGATACACTAATGATTTGTGTGTTGCTTTGCAAAGAAAGGAGCAAGATATTGTAAATGCCATGGAACTTGTCACTTATACAAAAACGGTGTTGCAAAAAATGAGGGAGCGAGGATGGGATACTCTCTTAAACAAGGTAACTTCATTTTGCACTAAACATGGTGTTGTTATTCCCACTATGGATTCTCTTTATGTTCCTCATGGAAGATCAAGACGTTTTGTTGAAGAAGCAACAAATGAACATCATTTTCGGGTTGGAATTTTCTTAAGACTAATTGATTTGCATCTTCAAGAACTTGATGAACGATTTAATGAGAGGAATATGGAGTTACTATTATGTATGGCTTGTTTAAGTCCTAAAGATAACTTCTCATCCTTTGATAAAGATAAGGTACTTAAACTTGCCTCTTTTTATCCCGAAGAATTTTCAAGCTTTGATTTGATGGCTCTTGAATATCAACTTGATGTATTCATGGAGAATATGCTAAATGATGAAAGATTTCAAGGTTTAAATGACCTTAATTCTCTTTCTATGATGCTTGTTAAAACCAATAAGCATAAGACTTTTCCTCTTATTCATTTGCTTATCAAGTTGATGTTGATTCTTCCCGTTGCCACGACAAGTGTTGAAAGAGTGTTTTCTGCAATGACATGTGTCAAAAACAAGTTGCGAAATAGCATGGGTGATCAACTTATGAATGATTGTTTGGTCACTTTTATTGAGAAGGATGTCTTCTTACGAGTTTCCGACGAAAAGATTATTGATCGATTTCAAAGTATGAAGACTCGAAGAATGAACTTGTAATTTTAATGTAATGTTTATGTAATTTTTTTCATCATTTTGAATTGTATGACTAAGTATATATTTGTATTTTGAAATTTTAATATTAAGTATTAACCAATTTGTGTGTGAGTTTTTTTTTTGTTTTTATTTTTTGTTAAGCTTTTCGTAAGTTAAGCATTTTGTCCCCCCAAGTTGAAAATCCTGGCTCCGCCACTGAAGATCACAGTTGGGTTTCTGGAACGATTGTTTTTCAGTATGGAAGGCCCTTTGATACTCGGTCTCGTTCTCTTGCAACCCAAGACTTGGAGGACGATTGTCTTGATATTGTGCTATTTAACGCGACAAAGCCAGTGCCATTGGTAGTGGATGAGACGGGTTCTTGTTACAAGTTTCCTCTTGTAAGATCGCATCTGGTTGTACCGTGTTGGTACTCTTTAATCTTCAAATTCGACTTGGTTTATTCTGATAAAGGCAAGGTCAAACTTATTCAATTTGATAAATTCATTCCAAAGTTTATTGATAGGTTTTGGATGAACCTTTCTGACAAGGAAGGAGATGACATGCTTATCAAGTTGAGCCTTGAAACTAAAAGGTAGATACTTGGTGACTACTTTTGTGCTGTATAAGTATTGGTTATGTGACCTTAAGTTAGAGACTCGGTTATTAGAATTCCTAGTATGATTTACTCCCTAACTTTTGCGTTATATTTGTGTTACTCGTATCATTTTGTCGAGCCTTGTCCTGTTTTAATGTACTGTATTGTCCTGTGAATCGGCAACACCATGTTTCATTCAACTCTGCAATATAAACACAAGCAGTTGAGAATAGGAGAAATATAAATTTTTAAAGTGTTTTAATTCTGTTGTACCTTACTTGTTGTGGATGAGGTTCCAGCAGCTTGTGCTATAAGTATAGAGGCTGCATTGCTTACTTTTTTTAGAAAGGGTGACAAGTAGAGCTGTCAATTCGGGTAAACGGGTCGGATTTGGGTTGGGTAAGAGTGGATCAGGTCAACTCGGGTCAGATCAATTCAGATTAACTTCATAACCTATGCGGGTCGGGTTTGGGTTGGGTTATGCTTGAGTCGGGTCACGTTGGGTCATACTTCTTATCGGGTTTGGGTCGGATTTAGGTCGGGTTACATTCGGGTCGGGTGAATAGTAGGTCGGGTTTAATTTGGGTTTTCACGGGTTAAAACGGGTTAGGATAATTCTCGGGTTTGAGTCGGGTTTGGTTCAAGTCAATAATTTGCGGGTTAGAATCAGGTCGGGTCATTCTCGGGTTTGAGTCAGGTTCGATTCAAGTCAATAATTTGCGGATTATAATCAGATCGGGTCATTTTCAAGTCGGGTCATTCTCGGGTTCATGTCGGGTTCGGTTCAAGTCAATAATTTACGGGTTATAATCAGGTTGAGTCATTTCCAAGTCGGGTCATTCTCGGATTCAGGTCGGGTTAAGTTCAAGTCAATAATTTGCAGGTTACAATAAGGTCTTGTCATTCCCAAGTTAGGTCATATTCGGGCTCAACTAACTATAAATAAATAATTATGTTATCATTTTTATCAAGCTAATTACTTCCTTTGAC